GGTGAATGCCTGTAGTCCCAGCTGCTTGGGAGGCTGAGGCAGGAGGATTGCTTGAGCCAGGAGTTTGAGGTTGCTGTGAGCTGGGCTGACGCCATGGCACTCACTCTAGCCTGGGCAACAAAGTGAGACTCTGTCTCAAAAAAAAAAAAAAAAGAATTACAACAACAATAAAAAAACAATTTCAGATAAAAGATAACTGAGAATTCACTGACAGCAGATCAGGAAGAACAGGAAGTTCTTCATTCTGAAGGGAAATAATACCATAATAAAATAATAATTCAGATCTTCTGGGGGAAAAAAGGGAAACTATTGAAAGTGGTGAATGTATGAAATATCTGGGTAACTAGTAAAACCATTTCTTAATTTGTTTAAAAATATGTGTAACTATTTAAGTGAAAATTGTGCCATTGCCTGGTTGGATTTATAGTGTAGGTTGAACACACACAATGACCACAGTGTGGAGAGAAGGGAGAGGTAAATGAACCCACACAGTTGCAAAATTTCTACACTTCACATGATGAGCTGCAGTCTGAGCACTAAGTAGACTGAGATAAGTTCAGGGTGTATACTGTGCTGTTTAGAGAAACCACCATAAAAAGATACAAAGATGACCAGCTAAAAAGTCAACAGATAAATTAAAATGAAATTCTAAAAAAGATTCAGATAATCTAAAAGAAGGCTAAAAGGGAAGAACAGAAGAACAAAATCACATATGGGACAAACAGAAAAAAACCTGGGAGAGCTAAATCTAATCATATAAAAAATGCTTTAAATATTGACTAAATACTCTAATTAAAAAACAAGTTTAAAAAAGAAAAAAGGGGGGGGAGCAGGACCCAAATATAAGCTGTCTATAAAAGAAGCATATTTTTTTAAATATACAGATTCAAATAGGTTGAAAATGAATGAGTGGAAAATATATATCATTAAAATAGCAAGCATAAGAAGACTAGAGTGACTACATCAACATTAGATAAAACAGACTTCAAGAGTAGAGTATTTATAGACAATTACACCCAAAACCTGAAGAATATACTTCCTTTTCAAATGCACATCTCACTAGAATCATATAAAATATGTTCTCTGACTACAATGGAATTGTAAATCAACATAGCTAGAAAATCTCAAATATTTAAAAATTATATTTAATACAAAGAAGTCACAAGAGAAATTAGAAAATATTTGAACTGAATGATAACATAAATACATATCAAAAGTTGTGGAATTGACCTAGATCTGTGCTTAGAGGGAAATTAATAGCTTTAAATGATTATATATGAAAAGAAGAAAGATCTAAAATCAGTGACCCAAGCTTCCAACGTACGGCACTAAGAAAAGAGGAGCAAAGGAAACGTAGAGTGAGTAGACACAGATAAATCCTAAACATAAGAGTAGAAACCAATGCAATATAAAACAAAAAGTACAAGAAAAAGTCAGTGTAACTAAAAGCTTATTCTTTAAAAGATTAATATGATTATTATACCTCTAGCTATTCTGATCAAACAAATAGAGAAGGCTCATACTAACAAGATCGCAAATGAGACAGCAGACACCACTGCAAATCCTATGGACATTAAAGATCAACTAAGAGAGCATGCTAACTATGCCAGAAATTCAAGGTTGAATTAACATTCAAGAACCAATCAACATAATTCTCCATTTTAACAGGCTGAATGAGATAAATCTTATATGACCGTTTCAATAAATGCAAAATAAGCATTTAACAAAACCCTGCATTTGTTTGTGATAAAAACTAGAAATAAATCACATATACAGCTGATATCATATTTAATGGCGACAGGCTTACATTTTCCCCATGAAGATGAGGAACAAGGCCGGAGGAACAAGGACGTCCACTCTCAACACTGGTGTTCAGCAGTGCACTGGAGGTCCTAGCCGGGATAATAGGACAATAATCACTTAAAAATAAATAAATAAAGTCATCCATATTGAAAAGGAAAATGTAAAACCGTATCTGTTTTCAGGCAACATGGAAATCCAAAACAATCAACCAAACTGCTACAGAACTAATAAGTGAATTTAGTTATTTGATACAATCTATCCTTCTGTCAAGGGGTAGAAGGTAAGCATACAAAAATCCAATTTATTGAAAATGCACTCGAAAATGAATTTAAAAAATAACTGCACTTGTGATACCATCAAAAAATATAAAATACTTGGAGACAAATTTAACAAAATATGTTCAAGACTGATACCCGGAAAACTACAAAGCATTTTAAGAGGAATTACGGCAGGTCTAGGCAAATGCAGAGATATACCGTGATGACGGAGCAGAGGACTAACCATGGCCAACACGTCAGCTCTTCCCAAGTTGATCTACAGAGTCATCGTGACCCCAGTACCAGTGCTAGCACTGGTTTGTAGGGATTGACGGGCTTGTCCTAAAATTTATATGGAAATGCAAAGGACATTACAACCGCACCGCACACTGTGGTAATCACTACACATGGTGACCACATGTGGCTACTGATATTTATATTTAGATTCATTCAAATTAAATAAAATTAAGAGTTCAGTTCCTCCAGCACACTAAGCACATTTCAAGGGCTAGATACTCACACGTGGCTAGTTGTTATCCTTTACAGAAGGTGTAGACATATAACATTGTTATCACTGCAGAAAGTTCTGCTGGATCGCAGGGACTTCCAATAGCCAAAGCAACCTGGGGAAAGGGACAAAATTAGAGGACTTATGCTACCTGACTTCAAGGCTCCAGTAGTCCGGACACAGTGGTGCTCACATAGGAAGACACAGGAGAGCATGTTCGTGACGTGAGGATAGGAAAAGTTTTCTTTAACAAGTCACATGAAACGACAACCATGAAAGAAAAATCGGACTTCATCAAAATTAGCATCTTCTGCTCATCCAAAGACATCATAAGGAAAATGAATATGCAAGCCACCATCTGAGAGAGAGTCTTTGTAAAACAAACATCCGACATAGGACTGCTACCCAGGACACGTAAAGAACCCCTCCAATGCGACAATGAAAGTACAAATGGCACCCCTTCTGAAAGAAATGGAAGTGAGCAAAGGTTTTAAAAAGAGACTTTCCAAAAGAAGATATGTAAATGTCCAATCAGCACAGGAAAAAAGCACTCAACATCATTAGGAATCAGGAAGATGCAAATTAAAACCACGGATATGCCACTACACACCTATTAGAAGAGCTAAAATTAAAAAGAATGAAAATACTGGCCGGGCGCGGTGGCTCACGCCTGTAATCCTAGCACTCTGGGAGGCCGAGGTGGGTGGATCGTTTGAGCTCAGGAGTTTGAGACCAGCCTGAGCAAGAGCGAGACCCCATCTCTACTAAAAAAAATAGAAAGAAATTAGCCAAACAACTAAAAATATGCAGAAAACAATTAGCCAGGCATGTGGTACGTACCTGTAGTCCCAGCTACTTGGGAGGCTGAGGCAGGAGGATCGCTGGAGCCCAGGAGTTTGAGGTTACAGTGAGCTAGGCTGATGCCATGGCACTCTAGCCTGGGCAACAGAGTGAGACTCTGTCTAAAACAAAAAATGAAAACACCAAATGTTGGTGAGAATGCAAAGCAACTGGCAGTCTCAGACATTGCTGGTGAGAATGTAAAGTGACACAGCCACTTTGGAAAAATACCTCCCAGTTTTCAAAAAAAAAGAGAATCATACACCTATCCCATGGCCTAGCACACCCACAGCGAGGTCTTGACTTTGGGGGAACAAAAACATATGTTCATTAACAAAAAGACTTAAACCAAAAAATAAAAAACTTCTATAGCAGGTTTATTCATAAGAGCCTAAAACTAGAAGCTGACCCTGCATGCACCAATAGGAAAATGAATACACAAATTGTGATACAGTCCTAGAACCAAATAAGATTCAGAAACGAAAAGGACCCCTTGGTCTCATTTATGCAAACTTTTAGGACAGGCAAAGGCCTTAATGTAAACACTATCAGAAGAGTTTCCACCTCTGGGGTCTGAGGACGGAGACAGCGAGGGGAGTCCTGGCAGGAAGCTTGCCAGGGTGATGGCTACGTCCTACATCTGGGCAGGAGTTTGGGTTGCAGAGTGTGACTTTTCCAAAACTCACTGTATATTTGTTTTCTACTGTTGCTGAATGCGTGGCCACAAACCTAGAGGCCTACAACCGTATACATTTATTATCTTACAGTTTTGTCGGTCAGAAGTCTAAGCACCGTTACCTGGGTCCTCCTCTCAGGACCCCACAAGGCTGCAATCAACATGACCACCGGGCTGTGTTCTCACTTGACGGTTCAACCGGGGAGAAAAGATCTGGTTCCAAGCTCATTCATGCTGCTGTCAGAATTCACTTCCTTATGGCTGTTGGACCGAGGGCCCTGGCTTTTTGCTAGCTGTCGTCTGCAGACCACCCCGAGGTTCCAGAACCCTAAAGGTGCCTCATCATGTGGGCTTCTCCCAAAGGGCCACTTTGTTCACCAAGCTCATAAGAGTCTCTGGTCCCATCTGTGACTAAGAGACACCGGGGAGAGGGGGGGGACAATGCCCTTAGACCTTCTAGATCCTCTGGTTTGATTGACAGGATCTGTGAGACATGTTCTCTTGCAAGATCCCTTCGTGTGACTGAATACACTGACCTTTTGGTCGTTCGGGTTTTACTGAAAGGTTGTCCAGTCACACCCTCCACTTTTTCTCTATGCCATGCTGTCTTACTCTGAGCGTCTGTTGCCATCTACAGAGGCTTAGAATTTTCAAAATCATCAAGTCCTAGCTGCTCTGTGTTTAACATTTCTCCTCTTGATTTCTCTCTCTCCTCTCACATTTTACTATTATAAACAGCCAGAAGAGACCTGGGGTGCTTTCGACACTTTGCTTGGAATCCTCCTTAGCTGCATGACCAAGTTCCTCTCCTACAAGTTCCAGTTCCACGTAACTGCAGATGACAGCGTTGCTGAGCTTCCTGCCACCATTGAGCAAGGATTTTCCCTCCCCCAGTTTCCAGTTACCTGCTCCTCACCTTCCTCGGAGGCCTCGCCTGCACTGTCCTTACTGTCCAGATCTCTGCTCACCGCAGTCTCTCCATCACCTTTCTCTGTCACGCTTCTCTGTCCACTGCTGAGCTCCAAAACCAGCCGCCTTTTTAGGTATTTGTCACGGCCGCGCCCCACGTCCAGATCGACACTCGTGTTAGTTTTCTGTTGCTGTGGGACAAATTCCCACAAACTTAGTAGCTTAAAACAACACACGTTTATTATCTCACCGTCTCTGTAGGTCAGAAGCCTGGGCAGGACGCACTCGGGTCCTCTGCCCGGGACTCTGGAAGTCTGCGTGCTCACTCTCCCGTCGAGGCTCGCCCCGGGGGTGAAGCCACTTCCAGGCTTGCTCAGTTATTTGGGGAATTATTTCCTTGCAGGTGTATGAGCCAGGGCCCCAGCTGATTGCTGCCTCTTGGCTGGAGACCACCCTCAGGTCGTGGGAGTGACTCATGGTTCCTCGTCACGTCAGCTTTTCCAGTACTGTCACTTATTTAACCAAGCCCACGAGAAGTCTCTGGCTCCAGTTTTCTAGCTAAAGGGAGTCTCGGAACAATATAATCTAATCACGGGAGAGACTTCCTAGCACCTCTGCAATTGCCACTTGTTATAAGCAAGTTACAAGGGACTGCGCAGGGTGTGAGTATAATTAGGGGTCACCTTAGAGCTACGCCCAGGGAATGAATGCACACTTAAGGTTTCGGCATCTTACATCAAAGGGAAAAGAACAAACCGAACTCTTGATAGGCATGCTGAATCGTTTACGGAGAAGTATGATGAAATGCACCAATAAAAAAAGATGAACTAATGGAGGGATGGAGGACAGACAGATGGATAACTGCATGGTCAAGCAAGCATAGTAAAGTGGTGACGGCAGGACATATACGGGTGGGTGGGTATATGTGTGCTGAAAATTTCTCTTAATGTTGCTATACCTTTGAAATTTTTTATATAAAATATTAGAAAAACAAATGTATGCTTACCAAAAAGAGCACAGACATAGTGTCTACCATTACATAATGAGAATGAGTCATCTATTTCTTTACACTTTTCAGCATTTTCTCATTTACTACATGCAACGAGCACGAATTCTGTGTATAATCCAGAGTTGGTTAAATGTATCTAGCTTATAAAGCAGCCAATGTATCAGGCCCACTGCTGGGCTTATAATTGTGTCCCTTCCTTCCCACGAATCGGTCAGACAGTGACCGCACCCCCAAGCACTGCTGGGCTACCCTAATAGCCAGCTACAGAGTGATCATGGATTCACCTAAACCCTCTGAAAGCACATGGTGCAGGATGCATCATCTCTTGGGCATAACAGTTGCATAATGGCACCACAGGTTATGTACAATCGCTCTTCTTTTTATATGTTCTAAGATTTGACTTCTTAATATTTTAGTTTCTCCTCTCTGGTTCTCATATTTCTGAATTTGATGAATAAATCTAAATCCATCCTAATCGCAGTGTTGATTCAGATTTTACCGTAAAAATCAAATACTATGTAAAACGGGAGTGCTTAAGGCTAAATCAACAACATGCCCAGTAGTACCTATTAGTGTCATGCTTTTTTAGGTAAATTAATTAGCATTATTTGGACCACGTCATGCCATAGCCAATAAAACAACAGATGTTTGGGGAATGAAGTAACCGGTCCACACAGGCCTAGACATTAGCCTTTTTGTTTTCATTTTTTACAGGAGGGAATGGTTCTGTCCAGTCAAGCACATTGTTAAGGCATTCCTATTTAATAAGTGGGTCCTGACATAGCAAGAAACTTATTAACTTATTAAGGCTGCTTATTAACTATTAATAGATTATCTATTCTTCCCCCAAAATAATTGATCAATAAATATTAGTCACCTCCTCTGTGTTAAGTCTGTGCTAAAGGCAAGGATATAGAAAAAGAGAGAGAGAGTAAATACAAAAAAAAATCATTAGCAAAGAACACAATTATAGTATCTATGTGCTAGAATAACTAACAAGTCAATACAGCATTTATTAGGCTAGACACTAATAAATTAGCAGGAAAGTAAGATAAAACTTCTGCCTTAAACAGCTCATGGTGCTAAGCAGAATAGAGCTGAGATATAGGCCATCAATAATTGTTTGTTAAACCAAATCAGACCCAGAAAACTCAAGGAGTTTACAAAGATGGCAAGAAAAAGCAAGATCCTCAGGATGGACTGGGTTTGGATGGCATATGTGAAGCCAAGGAATAGCCTTTAATGTCATTTTCCATTGTGGGCTAAAACAATAGCAACAGCAATGATATTTTGTGAGGTCTGAACAGTTACCCGCTGCCCCTGGGAGGGAGAACAAACTCAACCATAGCATGGATCACGTCTCCTGGGACACAGCACGTATGCAGAGGATAAAGGGTAAATAAAGTAAACCGCCAACAATGATTTCATTACTCTCAACCGGTGTTCTCAGGTCGGGGGTCATTTGGAAAGTGGAGGGGAACAATTTTCCTGATCACATTGTTTACAAGGTGCTATTTGAATCTTTAACAACTCTACTAGTGTAAAATGGATATACAATAAATTGCAAATATTTAAGTGTATTACATATACAATTTTAAGTGATATATATCTCTCCCTGTGAGGTCATCAATACACTCCAGATAATAAAAATATCACCCCCAACCCCCCACACACACAGAAGCTCCCTTGTGCCCACTTGTGATGCTTCTGTGTACTCCTCCCCGCCCCCATTTCTCAACATCTTCAGGCAAACATTGGTCTGTTTCCTGTCACTATAGATTATTCATAGTTTGTGTTTTCTAGAATGCTATATAAGTGAACCCATACTGTACGTACTCTATTTACCTGGCTTCTTTCACACAACACAGTTATCCTGCGATCCATCTATGTTGTAGCACGTGTTAATGGTCTATTTCTTTTTAGTACTGAGTAGTATTCCATCATGTGGATGTACGACAGCTATTCCATTCACCTGTGGGTAGACGTTTGAGTTGGTTCCAGACACTGGCAATTACAAATAAAGCTTGGACACCAATGGGTCCAAGCCTTGGTGGGGTGGAATGGCTGCCAGACTGGTTTCCAAAGAGTCTCACTCATTCCACGGTCTCGCCTGCAGAGTTTCAGAAGCTCCAAGTCCCCACCAGCACCTGCTATGGTCAATCTTCTTAATTTATCCATTTTAATTGATGCATAATGGTGTCTCATTTTCTAAATTTACAGCTCCCTCTTGACTAGTAATGGTGAGCATCTTTTCATGCCCTTATCCACCATCTATGTATCTTCCTTGGTGAAGTGTGTCTGTTCAACTTATTTGCCTAAATTTTAATTAAATTCTTTGTTTTCTTGTCACTGAGCTTTTAAGAGTACTTGAAATATTTGGTCACAAGTCTGCATCAGATACACAGTTTATAAATATTTTCTCCCAGCATTCTTGTTCTCCTAAGAAAGAATACCTTTCTGAAGAGCAGAAGTTTTTGATTTTGGTGAAGTCCAATTTATGAATTTGTTATTTTATGGATCATATTTCAGTTGTTATATCTAAGAAACCTTTGCCTAACCCAATGTCATAAAAGTTTTCTCCTATTTTTCTTCTAAAAGTTCTACAGCCTTAGATTTTATGTTTAGGACTAGGATCCATTTTGAGTTCAATTTTGTATGCGTTTGAATCAAAGTCCCAGTACCAACTGTTAAAAAGATTATCCCTTTACCACTAGTTTGTGGAGTTGTCCATATATGTGTGGGTTTGTTTCTGAACTTCATTCAGTTCCACTGACATATCTGTCTACTTTTAAGCCAATACTGCTGAGGCTTGATTATTGTCATTTTATGATTAAGTCTTGAAATCAAATAACGTTAATCTTTATTTTCAAAGTCATTTTGATTATTCTAGTTCCTTTATATTTCCCCAGGAATTTTGGAATCGGTTTGTCAAGTACTCCAAGAAAAAAAAAAAAAAAAACCTGCTGAGATTTTTGAGATTTTGATTGAAACTGCATTAAATCCATATAGCGACTGGGAGAATTGATATATGTGAACAGTAAGGACTCTGCTGACCACAGACATAATATATGTCTCCACTTCTTTAGATCTTCTTTTACTTCTTCCAGCAATGTTTTGTATGTTTCAGTATGCATAACTTACACAACTTTCATTGCATTCATCCTTACATTTCTATATGTTTGATGTTACTATAAAAGAGATTTCTTAATTTCAATTTATAATGTTTTCATTCTTAATATAGAGAGACACAATCGATATTTGTGTATTTATGTTTGTATCCTGAAAACCTGCTAAACTAACTTCTTAGTTCTGGTAGCTTTTTTGTATATTCACCAGATTTTCAACACCATCACATCATATAGTGTTAATATAGCATATTGAACTGATTTGTTGTCTGACATTAAATCAACATTGCATTCCTGAGATAAACCACACATGATCATGATGTACTATCCTTTTTGCACATTGTTTGATTCAATTTTCTGAAATTTTGTTTAGAATTTTTGCATCTGTATTTATACAGGACATTGGTCCATAATTCCCTTTCCTTATAATGCCTTTGTCTTGTCTTGGCCTCATGCACTGAGTTGGGAATGTTCTTCCTCTTGAATTTTTAAAAAAATGTTTGTGGAGAACTAGTGTTATTTCTTCTTTAAATGTTTGGTAGAATTCACCAGTATAGCCATTTTAGCTTGACATTTTCATTGTGGGAAAGTATTTAACTACAAATTCAATTTTGATTGGGATTGCATTGTACAGGGCCATTCATGTTATTTAATTTTTATTGGTGAGCATTGGTAATTCTTGTCTTTCAAAGTATTTGTCCATTTCCTTTAAGTTGCAAATTTATTGGCATAAAGTTTTTGATATTATTCTCTTATTTTTTTTTGACATAACTTGTGTACTCTATAGTGATAGCACCTTTATCATTTCTATATTTGCAATTTGTTTCCTCTCTCTTTTTTCCTGATCAGTCTGAATAGAAGTTTGTCAATTTTATTGCTCTCTTTAAATAATCAGCTTTGGGTTTCATTGATTTTTCCCTGTTTTATTGCTGTGGGTTTTTTCATTGATTTCCACTCTGCTGCTATTTAATTTCCTTTCTTCTACTTACTTGGAGCTTACTTTTCCCTTCATTTCATATTTCTTAAGGTGGAAACTGAGGTTGTTCATTGGAGATCTTTCTCTTTTTTAACATAGGTGTTTCATGTGACAAATTTCCCCATAAGTACCCCTTTGGTCGCACCCCACAAAGTCTGATACATAGTGTTTTTTTTAACTCAGTTCAAAACACTTTCCAAGTTCTCTTTTGATTTCTTCTCTGACCCATGGGTTATTTACCAGTGTGTTACTGAATTTCCAAATATCTGGGAATTGTCCAGCTATCTTTCGGTTACTGATTGCTAATTTGATTCCATTGTGGTTAGGCAGCATTCTTTGTATGACTTGAAACCTCTAATTTATTTGGACTTGTTTTATGGCCAGAATATGATCTATCTTGGTAGATATGTCATGCCCAGTTGAAATGCAGGGGCATCTTCATGTCACTGGGAAGAGTTTTCTATAAATGAAAATTAGGTGGAGGTCGTGGGTAGATCTTTGTCTTCTCTGTCCTCACTGATCTTCTGTTCCTTGTTCTATCAATTATAGCGCAAAGTATCTTGAAATCTCTGACTGGAATGGCCATATTTTGCTCCATTTGTTCTGAAGTTCTGTTATTACGTGTATAAATTGTGAAGACACACTCTCACTGAACTGACTTCAATGTCATTATGAAATGACCTTTTTTGCCCCTAATAATATTCTTTGCTCTGAAATTTATTATTATCATGGTATATCTTTTTCTATCTCCTTCTGTCTGTATAGTTAAGGTGAATTTTGGTTTTTTTTAATAGGTAGCATATAATTGGGTCTTTTTTTTTTTATTCATTCTTACAATCTCTGCCTTCTAATTGGGGTATCTCCCCATTTACATTTAATGTGATTATTGGTATAATTAGGCTTAAATCTAAAAACTTGCTGTTTGTTTTCTATTCATTTCATCTGTTCTTTGCTTTTTCTTTGTTTTCTCTCTCCTTTTGAATTAACTGGGTATTTTTTATAATTTTATCTCTTTTGTTGGCTTTTTAGCTATATATCTTTGTTATTTTAATAGTGACTTGGGGATTTATAGTATAGATTTTTAATTTATCGCTGTCTACCTCCAACAGATTTGTATCACTTATATACAGTATATGAATCAGACAGTAGTATATTTCCTTTGTTTTTCCTCCTGATCTTTGCACTATTTTTGTCATGCATTATTATTTTTTAAGATAGTCAGGTATCTTTCAAAAAGATCTAAGTAATGTGTAAAATCTCTTAACTATCTGCCCATGTATTTTTACCATTTCTGGTGCTATTCATTCTCCTGTGAAGACCCATATTTCTATATGATATCAATTTCCTTCTGCCTGAGGATTTCCTGTAATCTTTCTCATAGTGCAGATCTATTGGTGGTGAATCCTTTCAGCCTTTGAATGTGTTTATAATTATCTGAGTCTAGAATGCAACTCCATTGTATGTATAAACACAAAGGAAGTCTGGGGTACAGTTTTCATATAAAATTAATTTTCTAAGAATGTGACTGCTATGTCAACAGAGGTAAAATCATTTCTTGCTATGTCAATAGAGGCAAAACTATTTCTTGTTTTCTGTACTCAACCAATTACTATTCCAGAAACCCACATCATTGATGACAATACCACTCGAGCTGAGTCCCCATCACTGCAGCAATCTGCACCTGCACTAGGTGAGTTTGTGGTGATTCTGGGCACATCTAACTGCTTCTTTATGACTTTAAGCATAGTTTTGCTCTAGCATTTGCACATTATTTTAATATAAATTACTTTTCTTTTATATCACCTTGTATTACAATTAGGATATTACATTTTTCTTTTTAATTATATGCATAATGGGTTATATAACCTATGACTTTCCAAAAAAAATAAATAAATAAATAAAGAGGAATATCAGTTATCTATTGGTGCATAACAAACTATCCCAAAACTTAGTGGCTTAAAACAATAACCACTTCTTTGCTCACAATCCTATAGGTTGGCACTTTGGGCAGGGCTCAGCTGGGATGGCTCACCTCTGCTCACAGCACGCTGCTTGAGTGTTGTCTTTGTATTGAGTTGCAAGGTCAGCAGGGGACTGGCCAGTCCTGGATGGCCACACATAGGGCAGCTGGGCAGGGCTGTGAGCTATGGCACTTAAGTTCTCCTTCACGTCGCCTCTCCAAGTAGCCGGCTCAGGCTTCCTCACAGGGTGCCTGGGTTCCGAGGGGGAGAAGGGAGAAGCTGCAAACCTTTCGAGGCCTTAGCTCTGAAGTCACCCAGCATCGTGTCCACTATATTCTATTGGTGATGATTAATCACGAGGCCAGCCTGCCTGCAACGAGGTAGAGAAACGGACACCCCCGTTTGACGAGCAGAGGAGCAACGTCACATTGCAGAGGGAGTGCACACACGGATGGGGGTTTGTAGCCAGGTTTGCCACTGGCCACAGAGCATCACAAAATCTTTGTTATGGAAAGGGGCATCGGGTCTGATAGGCTTGAGAACCGCTGCCATATACAATATTTTGCTTCAATTCAATCCTCACCTGTCCCAAAGGACACACGCCCTTCCTTAATTCCTCATGAAAATTAAGGAGAAAGAATCCCCCGTGCACCCAGTCACCGCCACAGGTCCAAGGCCACGGCGTGCTCTCCAGCCCACCAGCAAAGGACTGCACCAGTCTCCAACGGGCAAAGCGCTCTTCGCGGAGTACTTATTAGACTGTTAAAAAGAAACAAGCTGAAATGGAGTGTTAGTAATATCCTTTTCTTGCTCTCGTTTTGCTCTGCCTTTCCAGAAATAGGCAAACCAGAACGGCGACGATACCCCGTAGCGAGTTTTCAGGTGAGGGGTCTTGCTGTGCTCTGAATGGTTGTGCCTCCTCCAAAATTCATGCTGAAACCTAACCCCCAGTGCGATGGTGTGCCGAGGCAGGGCCTGCGGGGAGGGGATTAAGTCACAGGAGTGGAGCCCTCGTGATCAGGACGGCGGCCTTGTAAGAAAGGCCCGAGAGAACGTGCGGGCCCCTCTGCTACGCGTGGACAAAGCGAGGCGGCGGCGCCCACGGAGCAAAGAGCTCGCACCAGCCGCAGGCGAATCCGCTGGTCCCTTAGCCCAGACTCTCCAGCCCCCAGCACGGCGAGCAATAAATTTGTTCTGTGCACAGATTACCCAGTCCATGGTGTTTTTGTCACAGCAGCCTGAACAGACTGGCACAGGTTCTCATTATTGGATGGCTGGAAAAAAAATTATTAATAATTGGGTAATTGACAAACTCATTAGACAAATGACACACTTCTGTTAAACACATGCCACCCAGACTTAACCCTGATATTCAACCGGTGGTATCTTCACATCACTCTTCCCACGTTAGGGACGGCCAGAGACAGGCACCCAGGAGGCCAGAGAGTCTGGTCAAAGGATACACCGTGTGACCCAAGTGACAGGATCGGCCAGTTTGGCTGGGAGGGCTCTGGACAGTGTGTGCTCTGCTTTGAACCACGGGAGAACTTTGAACTCCTCCAAAAGGACAAACTGTCCAGATCCGTATTTTTTCAGCCCGGCCTTGATTCTCCTGACACTCCTTCCCCACGACCACGGGTTACAGTACGTACAGCAGGAGTGGGCGCGGATCACAGCGGAAACCAGCAGACGTTTATTCTCAGGGAATCCTGCTGTTTGTGACTGTGCCCCAGCCGGGAGGGGCCGGGCATGCCCGGAGTCCCTGTTCATTCCCGAGGGCTCCTCTCCGGCTACTCCCATGTCAACAGTCGTTTCTGTTCCCATTCCCCTTTCGGTAGCAGCCTCTCCTGGAATGTGCGGCTGACCAACAGGTCCTGGAGAGGCGACAGGACTTCAAACACAGGGAGCCTGCAAAATATTTAACAAAGCCAAGTTCATGACCGTCATAACCCCTCTGCCCCTGACGACACCTGCTGGCAGGGGAAGTGGGCCAACCAAACAGCGGCCCGGGGACAGCCGCCCTCGGGACCACGGGGCGGTACCAGGAAGTAGCTGTTCCGTTTTGGCCCAACTGGAGCACAACCTATTCCAAGAAAACAAGTCTGACATTCTGTCAGACGGCAGACAACAGAGAGGCCTCCTTGCCAGGTCTCACACAGAAGGTGGCATTTGTGTGGTGGTCAGGCCTCAGGCGGCCTATTCTAGGCTGAAATGACGGCGGCACGCGATGCTAGAAAGAAGCAGGGAGCCGCTCCCCAGACCACGTCCTCCGAGCCGATCCTCGGATCTTCCACTGGAATTGTCTCGGGGAACGATCAGGCTTCATGTCATCCTCCCAGAAGGATGACAGAGATTTTCTCCGAAATCTGGCATTGCTGGGGATCCTCCCAGACCCCCTTACCGGGGCAGCGCAGCCGTCCCCTGGATGCCGGGTGTTGGGTGCTCCCACCGCCTCCTTCTCCGAGGGTTTCCTCCCTCCACCTCGCCGGAGAGGTCGTGCAAAGGCGGACCCCACTGGGGGATGACAGCCCGCACCCCACGTCCAGGTGCAACCCACCTGCAGTGCAGTTCATGCCCAGCGGATGCCCAGCGCCTCAGGCTGGAGGCGGATGCGGGGAGACCACATCCTTGTTGGACTCGCCCCTGCCTTAGGCTGCCCGAGTCAGTCCCCTTCTCCTGCGAGCACGGCTGCAATCAGTCAAGGGCGACCCCCGCCTCCCCCACCCCCACCCCGAGAACACACCCTCTGCCAGCGGTGAACCGAGTTCTCTGCAGAGACCACAAGAGCTCTTGGCACACACGGCCTTGTCTCTTAGGGGCCTGAAGGGGCCTGTTTCTTGGGCGGTACCCCAGCATTCTCTGGGCTCCTGTGTCCCAAAAAATGTCTACCTCTAAGACAGTGTCTTGCTAAGTGTCTGTTTGCCTAACACAATGGGAACTGGGGTGGCAGCGGGGGATGGGTGGTAAATAAGCGAGTACCGTGGAAAACACCGGGCTCGGAAGAAATGCAAGTTTTTAAGGAAGAGCAGCTCTTTCCGTGCCAGACACCACAGGACTGGAGGGGGAGGTCACGAGCCCGGGGGAGGCCGGAAGGACCCATGCGGGTGACGGATTGGGGCTGGAGACACCAGCATGAAGTCACGCTCGTCTCAGCACAGGCACAGATGGCTATGCACAGGAATAGTTATAGGCGTGTGTGTAGACACAGGTCCCTACACACACACACGTCTCCTCGCTCTGACAGCTGAGAGGGCCTAGCATTGACCCCGGGAGCCGCGAGCAAGAGCAGTGAGCACGCCTGGTGCCCAGGCCCCGGTGCCCAACACCCTTTTCCATAAAAGGAACCAGGGCTTGTTGGAGAAATGGCTGATTCCAGGGCAGACAGGGGCAGGAAATACACAAGATGAGCCTAATGAGAGAGTGCTAAAAAAAAAAAAAAAAAACCCACCACCCCACCCCCACCCAAAACAACAGCAGAACCCACGGTGACAGGTATGTGAACACCACAGGACAGTGGGATGCAGAAGCCACTCAGCAACTCCCGACGGCCAAAGCAGAACACTGAGTGCAAAATAAATAGCACAGCATTGGACTAAAGCCCAAAGCAGAAAACAAATATCCCCGAGTCTATACCGATGTAAATAAATGATTGAGTAGATAGCCGAACGGGAACGGAGGAGGTGACTCTCCCGTGCGGAGCAACTGCAAATGGCTTGTGCACTCGGCCCCGGGGTTGAGGGGGGCGCAAAGCATGACCCCAGCTCCTCGAGGGTGAGCTGGCGCAGCGACTTCCTTCCCCGGAGGGCAGGGTGAGAACGGGGGAAATGGGCAACTTTGCAGAGAAACCCGACAAACGCTAAGCCAGCCGGGTGGCGACGGTCCACACGCCCAGCGAGGAGCCCCGCCGCTGGGACGGCACTTCACCCCCGGACTTCCTCCCAAACCCGAGACTGCCAGTAACCACGAGAAAGCACCGGACAAAACCCCGTCGTGGGACATTCCACAAAATACCCGCCCGGCACCCGCAAGACTGTCAGGGTCGTCAGAAACAAGGAAAGTCAGAAAAACCGTCACCGCCAAGAGAAGCTAAAGGAGTCGTGGTGGCCAGGTGTCACGTGGCCTCCTGGGACACAGGGACGCCAGGAGCACAGCGTGGCCTTCAGCTAATAAAGTGCATTAATCGTAACAAATACAAGATGTTGGTCGAGGGGCAAACTGGGCCTGGGGTCTGTGGGAACTCTGGCTATTTTCATAATTTTTCTGTAAGTCTAAAACTACTCTAACGTGCAAGCTTTATTTTAAAAAAAAACTCTGTGGGAGAATGCTGAAAAAAAGAGATATAAGTACAAAGGAAAATACAAAGCTTTGAAAATCAGAAAGATGCATCATATTTCTAAAATTATTGACGTTATAGGTATCAATTCATTGAAGTACTGAATTTCATTCTGTGATGTAACAATTCTCTTTAAAGGCCAATGTTATGATACGCCAAAAACTATATATTGAATCTTACGATGAGACTTTCAAATAACCTGAAGATGTTGCAAGAGGAAGGGAAAATGTTAGGAAACGAAGGGAAAGCAACGTGGCCAGGTGGCACGGAGGACGTGAGACAGGAGACGGACGCCCCACCCGGTGCCCCGTGGCCAGTAAGGGGCCGGACGGAAACACCGGCCACTCCTGCAGCGCTACAAAGCGTGGACGAAAGCAGGACGAGGGGACTAGACTCTGGTGCCGCCAAGCGTCGGGGCCTCCCACCCGGACAGAGGGAGGGAGACGCGCCCATCGGTGACCTGTTTCTCAGGGTGACCTGAGAGTCATCGGTGACCTGTCTCCGCAGACGCCGACAAGGGCCAGCACGATGCTGAGCGCCAGCCCGGGAGGACGGTCATCTCAGCGGGTCCCGCACCAGCGTGCCGGCCGAGATCGACGGGGCCAGAATGACGCGGACCAAACCAGAGATGGAGAAGACTTTGGGGACGTGGGACCCTGGGTTTGGGAGAGCCTGGCCCCCGGAGCAGTCCTGTGTGGCCAGACACCTGGGTCCCCGGAGAAGGCGCAAGGAGACGTCGGAGGCATTGCCAGAGCAACACGGTCACGGGCTCTGTGGTTTCTGCATGTGGGAGGCACACGCGAGCTCGATCGATGGCACGCTCGCATATGCCGAAAACCCTACGCGACTGCCCACAGACATGCACGTGTTTAAAGGTGCTGCAAAAGAAATGTTTTAAAATAAGTTACCAGGGTGAGGCAATCCTGCTGAAGTTCTTAGTTGCTAAAATAGGTTTCATGTAAACTTTACTGTCTTTACACCATACATATCCGGTCTGGAATGGAAAGGAGACATCAGTGCTAGCAAAACCCTGAGGCTCATTTCATGATTGAGGCCCCCTCTCTGGCCAGCACTCACCACACCCACAGCGTATTCTGTGCGCCCGGCCACGGCCCCTCAACCCCAGCACTGGGGACCCTGGGGGCTGGGCTGTGCATGGCAGGACGTCTCTCCGCATGCCTGGCCTCCACCCACTAGATGCAAGGGGCACCCCTCCCCAAGCGGTGACGACAGTCCAGACGTTGCCAAGTGCCCCGTGGGGAGGAGGGTGAAATCACCACCAGTAGAGATCGTGGGTCTGAAACTACAGCCATGGGAATCCAGTCACGGCCCGCTTTGCCAATAAAGCTTTATTAGGACACAGCCATGCCCATTCATTTAGGTACTGCCTGTGGCCCCTTCCGTACCACAGTGACAGAGTGGAGCGGTTGCAACAGAGACAGTACAACCCACAAAGCCTGAAATATTTAGTATCTAGCCCTTCACAGAACAAGTTTGCAAACTCTGCTCTGGTTGCGACCTCCTAAATCTCTTCTCGGCCCACAATCCACCCTCACTGTTAGCACCCCGGCCCCACAGCCAGGACTTCTGCAAAACTTCCTCAGGGCGCTCCTGCCTCTGGTCTTGCTCCCCTTCAATTTACATGCCATGGGGTATCCAGGGTGACATTTTCTGAAAACATATCGTATTGGGCCAGTTCCCTGTTTAAAGCCTGTTGGCCTCCCCTGCGCTTAGGATAAAGTAAAGCTCCTTCGCAGAGCCTGTGAAATTCGGGTGCTCTCCAAGGACTGGCCCATCACATTCTGACCTCTCCTACCCCTTCTGCCCGCACCACAAACCCGGCCCGGCCTCCAGACACTAGCGTTCCCACGGAACCGACGGGCTGGGGCTACCCGCCGCATTGCCCAGCCAGGGCAATGGCCTGCGTCTCACCTGCGCAGGTGCTCCAGCAGGTGTCTGCCCGACCCGTGCAGCTACCCCTCGTGTGGTTAGCTTTCCATGCGTCTGCGGTCACTGCACTGACCGTTCCGCTCGGCTGCCACTTTAGCCACGGGAGAACTCTAAATTGCAATGTTTGCTGAACGAATATTCCTCGCAGCAGGGATTTCCCAAGTTTTTGACAGTGACACAAAATAAGAAATAAACGTACTGTGCGTTGTGATCCGGTACACGCCTGAGACATACACCTCACGTTAGAACATTTGCCTTTACCATTAATGATTCCTGTTGTTTTCCATTTCATTTTGTAAATGGTGGTCAGGACTCGTTACCAATGAGTCGCCAGCGGATTACTTTTACTAACCCACGAATGCGTTGTGGCACACAGTGTGGCAACTGCCGCAGTACAGCCCCTAGCAGGGTGCCTCGCGCAGACTAGGCACTCGATAAGTATCGACGCGTGATTAAGTGACTGGCTGGTGACGAGAGTGCCCGAGAGACAGCCGTCAGGGCCTCCGTCTCTGGGTCTGGGTCTTTGGCTCTTTCCAATTTGTCCGACACAGTGGCAAATGACAGGACTCAGCCTTCACCCTCAAAGGGGTCCTGGGAGAAAGGGGAGCTGTCATCAGTGTGTCTA